AGAGAGAGAGAGAGAGAGAGAGAGAGAGAGAGGAACGAAGAAGGAAATAAGCGACGAGAAATAGAAGAGGATAAAGAGGGACACGCGGTAGTAGTAGTGGTATCAGGATGGCATTCTCGACGTCTCGTTCCTTCTTTTTCCCTCCGTTGTGCCTTTCTTTCTCCCGCGGTGCCGATTCCTACCGCTCCACCTTCTGTCATTGCTCCCAGTGCTTCGACCATGAAGAGAAGCACCTTGCTTGCCACACTGTCCGCCCATGCACTTCTCTTCGCGATAATTTATTCGCGATTGTACCTCGAACAACGATCCAGCCGATTAGCCTGCACTGGCGATCACACGCGTTTCTCTCCCTCCTGTGTGCAATATCAAATGAAACTTCTGTTAATTGTTGTTTAAAAAACTACGATGCAATAAGATGCGAAATTAAAACAATGACTTTTCTAGCTTTTTTTTTCAATACTTCGATATACAGTCTTCTTATCGTTGAAGAAAGACTGGAGATTATTTAAGTAGTACTTAATGCGGGTATTGACCACTCTTCGTGGTTAATAGTGAATTATTAATTTTTCCTATGAATTATTCAATTGTACTTTCAGACAACCTTGGATCACTGACGAGAGAGAGAGAGAGAGAGAAGATATCGCAGATTCATTGAATGGAGTATGAAACTGATGTTGTCGAAGGTATGACAGGCATACACGCGAATCACAGACCGACTGACTGTCAGCTGAGAAATCAGTTATCTGACAATCGTGACTAGGGCGCGTGGCAAAAATTGAAATGCATTCGGCTGCGCGGCCGGACGAGCCTGGATTTTCGTGTTGTCGAGAGTGGCTGCATTTTCTGCGCCGGTGGCGGTCACGAGGGCGCGAACTAGTTCGTGAATCATGCCTAGAATGCTTTACATAAATTGCTCGGGACCGACGTCACGTTCTCGGACCCTAGTCATGGAGACCGAGCAGGATAGAGAAAGACGGAGGAGAAAGAACGTTCGTTGGCCACGGCAGAAGTGACTCAGCCTCTCGTACGCATGCGGGGACATGCGGTTTGGAACAGAGTCGGAAACACCGGATAGGTGAAAGTATGCGCGACTCATCCGCGAATCAAACTACCCGACTCGTTCTCGGATATCCCATTACGCGAAAGGATCTTGGCATGAGGCGCGCCAATCATTCGGATTGTCATACGTCGACGAGACTTCTGCCTCTGGTTTCTTGTACGATTTCTTGTATCGTTCTACGAATTTCTCTCGTGACGTGGCTGATCGTCCGTGATCCACAACCTACTTTATATTTCAATATATGGGACATTGATTCACGGAAGAAAGAGAACGATAATGGGGCAGACAGTTCATCTTCGTGCTTCTTACAATAGTTTCAACGTGAATGGACACGATGGATGATATATATCGTTGAAATGATCGTTTTACGAAAAAGAATCAATCCTTTTATTAACGCTTAATCCACGTAACACGTATATACGACACGCACACATACTTAACACTTAAGCTTTACTTTTTATATTTGACATTCTCGATCGCAGCGCACGTATTTATATCGTTTTGCTTTTTTTTCTCTTCTTTTCTTTTTTTTTTTTTTTTTTTTCATTTTAAGTATCATTCGGTGGATGAGTT